CCCCAAAACCCCAAAACCCCAAAACCCCAAAACCCCGCGGACTCTATTTAAGTTGAACCATTAGGAATATTATTTAAATAATCTAAAATGGAGAGTTTCCAAATAAAATATGATACTACCGCTTTATCTAAGGTAATTAATCTATCATGCCCAGTAATGTTCATGATTACTTAACGCTGGTTAAACTGCATGTGGCTTAAGGCATTAAACTTCTTGAAAACAATAAACTCTAAATGCTTGGTTTAGAAAACCCCGATTCATTTGAGAATATCATCCTTAAAGGTAAGGTCTCTCTCGGTTATAGTTATAAAGTTTCTTATTATTTAGCACTTTGAACCAGCATTTGGCTAAAATGTGATATTTGAATTTTAAGAAAATGTTTGATCTTTGAGTTTTCTCTTTTGCAATTTAAAGAAACTTTCTTGATGCTAATCTAAGAAATTTATTGAAGTCAATTTTTAGAAGAAATTTGAAGGGATGGCCAAACTGTTCAGGGTAAATAGAGGAAGGAAGCTACGGAATTCAAGGTTTGACGCCAAGTCGTTCATTGTAAAAAAAAGAAAGCCATCTAAATTAAATAGAAAGCAAAAATCTTTGTAAGTTATATATCTGTCAAAAATTCTTTCTATTTATTCTCTTAATTAAGTTGGGAGATTTCTAAACCAAATTTATATAGTTCAATAACTAGTCCTTTGAGAGAGAGGAGAAGAAGAACTCGAAAAACTATGCAAGCGCCCAGAGTACATGTAAAGAGCCCTCCTCCAACCTTCAACTCTGGAGAACTCTTAAGCCCGCTAGGTTTGGATTTAGAGCAGGAGAAAGAGAGATATATGACTATCATCATGAAAGCCCAGAATGCTTTAAGGAATAACTCTCGAGTTTTTGGATCCCCATGTGTCCTCAAAAAGTTTTTATCGGAAAGACGTTCCTTTAAAAGTCAAGGTAAGCCCTTTTTCTTTATTATGTCACGGTTTACTGTTTCTACGAATTTTTTCATAAAGTATTTTTTCAAATATTCTCACACTTTATAGGCAATGTAAGAGGCCAATCTTTCATCTCAGAAGGTCAAGAAGCCAGTGGCTCTGGCAAGAGCAAGAAATTTCTTGATAAAGTAAACATCAGGAAGTTAAATATCACCAAGAAATCAGCATCATTTACTGCAAAAAATATGACCTCGTAGTTTAATAGCTAATTATTAAGCTTAATGTTTCCTTTTCTAAATTTATTTGCCGACTTTAATTTTATGCTAAAGCCATAGTAGGGGTTTAGACGTACTAATTTGAGCATGCAACGATTGGATGAAATCTTCTCTCATTCTTCTATCTAATGTTATCATTTATGATACTAAAAATTTTAGCGAAACCTTTAACCTTACCATTCTGGGAATGTGAGCTTACTTTACTATTCTTTGCAATTTTGTACAATTTTCCTGATTTGCTAATCCTTGGGAGTTAATAATCTCAACAGAAGCCATATCTGCTCTATTCTTTATGATTTTTGCTTAAATAGCACAGTTTAATTTCTTAGTTAGTATATAACCTTTCGATTAAAATAACTGGATTCTCCAATTTGTGAAGGGAATAACTAACCCTCAATGGAAGAGTCAGGACTAGAGCTGCATGTTTACGCTGGAAAGCTTACATTCAATACATTTTTTTGCAGCTACATTCCTCCTCAGGAATTGTCAAGACATATAAGAGTATCTAAATAGGAACTCACGGGTCAAGTTTTGAACATGAAACAATGGCATAGAAATTAGCACTCTAACATAGAGTACGAACACTCTTAATTTACATCTTAATCCTTTGTCAAAACAGCAAACTGAGGAGTTTTTGGAGATAGAATTAGCTTATCAGTTGGTTCAACATTATAATCTTATCTTGGGGTTTTGGGGTTTTGGGGTTTTGGGG